TTTTTTAATAAACCCGGGGTCCCGTGTCAATTTTAAAATTTTAATGTTACGTGAACCGAAAATGCGGCCTAACGCTAAGTTTATAAATTTAAAAATTAATATTTATAGTAAACTAATAGTCGCATTTTTTTTTAAAAAGTGATTAAGAAAATTATAAAAATTAAAAATTAAACATTTGGTATAAAGCTTTTAAAAAAAATAAAACAATTAAACTTATTTTAGATTAATAAATTTTCTTCTTTGAAATAAAAGATGTAAAGGAATTGATATATTAATCGAAAATTAAAATAAACAAATCATTATACTTATTAAATGTTTTATTAAATTTGTTGGTTAATATTAATTTAATATTATAAATTATAAGGGGACGCTTATTTTTTTGAAGCGCGCTCTATTTTTTTTTTTTTCTTTCTATTTTCATTTTTTCATTTATTTTTAATCATATTTGTGGATAGTTGAATATTATGTTTGTTGTTTTATACAATATTGCAGATGCATTGAACAAATTAAATCCGGCAAATTAAAAGTTTTCATCACGCATAATAATAAATACTTGCTTCTTTTATTGGTTGTTTTTTAATTTCAAATATTTTGGGAAAATTAAATAGAAAAGCCTCAAATTTTTTTTTTTTTTAAAAAAAAAGAAAAAAGAAAAATAAAGTGTTATTTTTGTCCTTTTCTCTCTTCGAAAATATTTGTGCAAGAGATAAATTAAATTACGTATATTCATAATAAAACTATGTATAATGGGAAAAAATCCACTATTTTGCATCCTAAATAAGAAATTCATCTGACTGGTAATCTTGCATATAATTTAATTGGTGAAACTATAACAAAGTTTAAAACGACCAATTACCATATTGGAATGATTAATTTTTTTTTTTCCTTAAAAAAAAAAAAATAAGCGAAACGTTAATAATTTGAATTCCTCAATAGAACATTTATTAAGTTAGATCATTTACTTGTTCTTGGCTTTATATCTTTCTTTTATTTTCTAATAAGATTGTTTTGTCTTGGAGCTTCATTTCACATCTAATTTTAGATGCAAAAGAACGTGATTTTCATATTTTTTTTCCTTTTAATTCACTATGATGCAATTCCTAAACCAATAAAATTGTCATATTTGTGAATAAATCTATCCTGCGTTGTTACACAACTAGAGAATTTTCTTAAATGTGCTGTACATGCAAAATCGGTTCACACCTTGAATTTTTTAAAAAAAAAGATTTACAGAAGGTTGTTGTTTAAAAGAAGAATAGTAAATTTAATTAAACCTGTGAAATAAACAGAACGTCGTCCAACATCATGAAGAATTCTATAAATAATGCTGTTCTTCACAAAAAATTTGAATGTTTTCTTTATACCCTCCTTTCATTTTTTATTTTATTTTATTTATATTTATATTTTTATTTTATTTAATATTTTTTTTTTTTTTTTCAAAAAAAAAATTAAAAAAAAATAAAAATACACTCTCTTTTTTGGTTTACGCCAACAAATATGAAATTTACTTTAATTTTAATTGCCCTATTGGTTTCCACTGCTTTGGCTTTGCCGATTCAAATCTCCGAGGAAGATATTAAATGTAAGTTCAGATTAGGTAATTTGTTTATACTCTTTAAATTTTCATTTTCATTTTTCTAAATTCTTTTTCTTTTTCATTTTTAGTCAAGCGCGATGCAACTGGATCGAATAAATTCACAGAGAGATACCTTGAAAAATTCACTGCTTTTGAAAGTAATCCTGGAAGAAAAATGAGAAAACGTTATGACCAGCCAACCCAAGCTCAAATTGATAAATTCAAAAATTTGGCCGGTGGCCCGGGAAAGCGTGACGTTGAAGAAAATATTGACCAGCAAAATCTTGAAAATGAATGGGACTGTAGCCCAGGAAAGCGTGATGTCGGAAAAACTGATGGCCGGACGACTGATGTTTATGGATTCGGTGGCCCAGGAAAACGTGATGTCGTAGAAGATATTGACCAGACAGCTCCAGGTTATGTTTACAGTGGCCCAGGAAAGCGTGATGTCGACCAAACGGCTAAAGGTTATGTTTACAGAGGCCCTGGAAAGCGTGATGCCGGTGAAAGCTAGCCAACCAAAGAAGAAATTCAAAATTACATAAATTAATCCATACGTGATTTATCCTGAGAGAATTGGAAAAAAAGGATATCAATTAGTAATCATTATGTAAAAAAAAAAAAAAAACGGATATTCTAAAATATATATCAAACATATCATTTGTCATGAAAAATCCTTTCCCCCTAAACATTCATTTTATTTACAATTAATTTTAGAACTATTCTTTTAATTTCGTACATATGTAATTAACATTCCTTTTTGTTTATTAATTTAATAAATAATTATAGAAAAGTGGGAAAAATGTGATATAAAAAAAATCAGGTCATCTTTTACTTTTCAATTTCGGATACACAATATTATTAGAACCTAATTTGGGTTTACCGAAATTACCCGTTTTCACCCAATGTATGACAAATTGCGGCTTATTGGACTAAGCCATACGATTCTAAACCAATATATATATTTTTTTTCCCAAAAAAAAAAATAGAGAAACTTTTTTTTATATAATCCGCTTCGGAAAGTTCAATCTTTGCAACGTAATAAATAAAAGGTGTACTTTTTTTTTTTTTTAATAAAGGATTTAAAATTTATTGATTAAAAGTCCCTAACGAAAACTATAATTAAAATAAGATTAATTAATTTTTAATAAATCTATGTTATAAAGTTACTGGAAAAACTGAATTTTTCAAAAAATCATTGCAAGCCAGTATAACTTTTTATATATATATATATATATATATATTCAAATGATTTTAAAGTAATTTACATTTATTCATCGTCTTCGTCGTTGATTAGGTTGTTTAGGTTGTTTAGGTTGCTTTGGTTGTTTTGGTTGTTCATTAGGTTCTTTATTGTTATTTTTTGGATTGACAATAGAACCGATCCAATTATCTAAGTCATTTTCGAATCTTTCAGGAACTTCCCACATAGGAGCATGCCCAACACCTTGATATTCATGCGTAACATCATTAGGTCGTAAAGCAGCAACGCTTCGGCTATGAACAGGATTAACAATTTGATCGTCGTCTCCATAAATGCTTAAGGTTGGAATTTTGAGATTGGTAAATGTTTCTGTAAAATTATAATCAAGCTCTAAAAGAAACGAATGAGAAATAAAAATGAAATTAATTATTTTTTAATAATAGTAAGAAGAAGAATAATAAAAATAATAGTTAAGAACTTACGTCCATAAGCGAGACGAGACTCTGTAGGAGCATATGCACCAATTCCTATAAAGAAACTTAGGGTTGGTGGAAGCAGTGGATTCGTTGTGGAAGTAAATCTATTAAATAAATTTTTAAGTGAATCCAAGATAAGCATATATGTTTCGCTAGTGACCACACCACCAATAGTGACCCTGCTATATTCAGTAAATATATTATCCACTTTAAAACTTTGGAAATTGTTTGCAACGCTAACGTATCCACTAACTCCAGCAGTTGTGAAATTTCTAAAATATGATAAGGTAGCAATGGATCCTGTACCCCAAGTGACTAGAAAAATTTGATTGTTTTGCGCATTTCCCTTTTTTAATAAAACATCATCAACTATTAATTTGACATCATTAGCGTACAAATCTAGATTGTTATATTTATCTAAATCGGTGTCTTTGCTACTATCTCCCATGCCACGTAAATCCCATCTTACTAAATGATAACGATTCAGTCTATTTGATGTAAATGTTGTTTCCCACGCCAATCTACTTGTAAAATATCCATGTGTAAAAATTATCGTAGGATTCGAGACATCTCCTCTTTCTTCAACGAAAATTGTCATATCATCGGCGGTTCTTAATTGATAAGTCTTAGATTTTGGTTCTTCGTCCTGTTCTGGGAATTTTCCTTGAAATTGCCCTGAAACCACCGACATTAACAAAAGTGCCAAAATACATAGTAGCTGAAAGCCTTTCATTGTAACCATGAGTTGAAGTAGGCACTTCTTTTATCAGCGTAATAACTCAGCCTTGAAAAAAAAAAAAACTATACACGAATGTATTTATGAAGAAAAAAATTTTTAAATGAAACAAAAATTCCGTTTAAAAATAATTCATTGTGATTATTATGCTATTTATAAAGAAATTAAATAATCACACGTTTCACATAAATTGGGTTTATTATTAAAATAAGGGGTGTTAAACAAGTTTATTAATAGTGTACAATTTACGTTGCTCAGCTCATCTTAAAATTTTGGAATTTTTCTTTCCTTTGGATTATTTTTCCCTACATATATAAGTAGTAAACCTTGTATAAATTAAAAGATAAAGAAAAAAAGAAAAAAAGAAAAAAATGGAAATTATAATTTTAGAAAGTAATGCTTAATCGCCACCTATATATATGTATACAATTTATAAATTTAGAAAGTAATGCTTAACCGTCACCGCCTATATGTATGTATATTGTCTATCACAATAACATATATTCATTGAAAAAAAACCTTTTTTCTCATACGATAATCTCAATGATGTAACATTTACTGTACATTTGTTTCATTAATTCCTGCATTTATTGATAATCTTTCATTTATTTCTCGGCATTTATTTTTTCCATTGTTCTCTATTAATTAATTACCAAAACGAAACTGTTATTTATTAAAATCATAATTCACAAAAATAAAAAAAGGTTCTCAAACTAAAATGTGAATTTATGTATGATTCGTACCCATTTGGTTTAGTTCATGTTCATCATCTTGTTGTTGTTTATCAAATAAATAAATTTAGTTCCAATTAAAGTAAAACTAAAAAAAAACTTTCCGATAGTATTTAATTAGATAAAGTTAGACTGATATATTAGTGTGTGAAGGATTAAATTACCCCAATTATTATTTAGTTTATAAATGGGGATATTAATATAGCTGTGCCATGTTTATTTATGGATCGACCCGGTCCAAAAAAGATCAAAAAATCTATTATTGATTTTCCATATTCCTATTTCAGAAACAAATCGATTGTAATTCTTTTGCGTATTCATTTCATTTCCGTGTCGTTCCAAAACATCATCAATCAATCAAATGTCGGGGAACAATTGAACATTTATGTTGATACACAAGTTCGGATTGGTCAAAATCTTTAATGTTGCATCGTTTTAAAACAATATGATCGTCTAATGTATTACTAAATTTTGTTAGTGAATCAAATTCTGTTATTGATTTCAGATTCCTGTATGAGCCTTGCTGAGAAGGAAGTTGAGATTGCCACGAAGCACATAAAGAAATGTTTACGTCCCTTTAAGTACTTTTAGTTCATTAGTTGCAATTACCAAAGCGTTTTAATAGCCTTCCGATTCTCTTTCTTGCAGATTTCATGTTCGGAGGAAAGAATTGAACATATATACGTAGATAGAGTGAATTTAACATATATTTGCATCTGCTCAACTTACAAATCTGTCATCATTTTCTACTTTTATGAAAAAGTAATGATACTGTCTTACTGACTTTGACAGGTATCACAAGAAAGGATTCAAGCGAAGTTATCCGGTTACGTCATCCATGGTTACAACTTTTCACGAGTAAGAAAAGAACTAGATAATAAATTAAAATGCAAAGCGCATACATGACACTTCTGATGGAAATGATGCTTTGCATTTTACGTGATTTTTACGCCGTCTGATTCGTCTGATTACTAATAATGTATTTATAAAGCAGCGACAACTTACGTGATTTTATCTATCTTTTTTTTTCGCAAGTTACAAAATTATGATGCATTTAAAACCGCGAGATTTTGTGATTTTCTGATAAATTAAGTTCTCTCGAAAAAAAATTTATTGAATTTAAAGAGCAATATTATAAACAAGTTTTGGCGCCAATAATTCAAGAATTCCAAATAATTCATGTTAACCTAAATATGTAGAGTAACAAACAACAAAAAAAAATAAAAAAAGTGTGCATGTCATAACGCAAACATTATTTTATGTCTGAACGACATGTTTCTTTAATTAAATGCCAAGAATTTATTAAATCGTAATTTGAGATACATTAAAATCGAAGCATGCTCAATCGTCGCACAGGAATTTTCGGTTCGTGTAACAAGTTATTTATTTTTTACACTACATAAAAATAAAGTTGTATTTAATTACAGTTTAAAATTTTAAATTTTCATTTAAAAATAACTAATTAAACGAACGAATTATTGAGGATATTTTCGAGAATGAAAGGATATGCCCTTTTATATTATCGAGAGTACGGCGCAGAAAATATCTGTTACCTTTAACATTTTTTCGTTAAATCTAAGCAAAATATAATTTAAAAAGATTTTTATTTTGAAGGACTCTCTCAATTAATAATTTTAAAACATCGAAATTGATTGAAAATCAATAATTAAATTCAAATCACCTTTTTTCGTCCCTTTTTGCAACAATTTATTTTTGTTTGGTGGTATACGCAAAATGATTTAAAAATCTTGTTTTACGCGTCTCACTTCTTAAATTTAACTTTATTATTGATTGGATTAAATAAATCAAATCAAATAAATTATCATAAGAACCTTTCAATAATTATTATTTATTTATTTTAAATATGAAAACATAATTTGATCGTATAATACGTAGTGCAACCTTCAAGAGGTGGTATCGATTGACATTTCACTGACATAAATTTAAAAGTGTTCAACGATGTGTAAAACAACATAATAACAAAATAACACTAGTGAAACGTGCAGAAAATTACTTCTAATCATTCAGCGTTAATAAACAGATTTTAAATCTCGAATTCAGATGAAATTCAAGGTGAAAGAAGAATTTAAATATATATGAAAAAAATAATATAGTAAATGAACAATCCATACGACTAAGTCACAAATTTATAATAGACGGATAGATATGTTATATGACATCATACTTATTCCAAGATTATGTGCAATATGCGAATAAATTGCTTTAAAATTATCTAAGATAAAATAAAAATATTTTTTCCTACTTAGCAGGTAATGCTACGTTAAATAAATATCAAAAATATACAATCGGTTACACAAACCATAATTTATTAAATAAAAAATATATACAAAAAAGTAAAGTATCTAAACGTTAAGAATATTTTAGCCTTTGTTTTTCTTTATACTTATTTTTCTTTATCCTCGAAGAACATATCAATTTCATCATTACTTTTCACATTTGAATTTTCATCCATATAATTATCTGAGCCTCCATAAGTTATTCTACCATGATCTTTAAATCTGTATAATCTTCCAATAATATTACTAAGCAAACATAGACAGGACGATAAAAGTGTTAATAAAGGTATAGCATCGTAATTTACCACACTTCTAAAATATATAATCTATTGAAATTTCTTAAATTAATTTTTGTAAATGTATAAAGAAAGGTTGCAATGCAAAAAAAAAAAACTTCATACCTGAATAACTAATTGCGGAATATCTTCAAAAAAAATGTTAAAGCAAGATCCCCAAAACATTCTATTTAATGCTTTTTTAGAAAATTCTGCATTAAAAAAATCAAAATTCCAAATTTTTGATTCGAGTTCAGTTAACGCTTCAACATCAGTTCCTGCTAAAATTGTGAAGATTTCTACAACTTTATTATTTTCTTTTGACCATTCCAAAAATTTTTTATTCTCCTCTTCTTTTTTAATAATAATGTATGCAATTATTACGCTTATGATAAATGGACCTATATAAAATACAAGACTAAAAGAAAAATTATTATTGTAAATCTTTTTCTTTTTTTATTTCTCATTGATATAATGCAGAAATTAATTACCTTGGAATATATAATTTATCAACGTCTTTTGCTTTTGTAGTAATAAAAAAAATACCCATGACAATATCGAAAATAAAAATAGCAACTTAAATATTCCCTTATTTTTTGCCTAAAATTAATAAAAAAGAGCTTTTATAAATATGATTATTGACTTTTTCATTTAAAAAATTTATATTCATGATATTTACCTCAGGATTTTTACATCTGGCGAAAATGTATAATGAAATCAGTAAGGGTAGGATTATACATGCTCCAATGATAGTTGGTCCATAAATTTTCCACCAATTTTCTATTTTCAAATTCAAAATTTCAAAGCATTATATTTAGATTTTTGAGAGAATTATCCCTTTTAAGAATCTCAAGATAGTAGCAAAAAAAAATTCCTACGTGTTTGGTATCCGTAAATTTTATCTAAATATCTTGAATATTCACCGTATTCAATAACAGTGATAGTTTTATTCCTAATCAAATTATCTAAAGCTTTAATTGCATAAATAACAGTTCTTTCTTGTTTAGTTTTATCTTTTTTAATATCAATAGACAAAAAAATTTGTTTTGGGGAAGTAGAAGAGTCAGTTTGAGTCTTTTTATTGGTAGTTACACGTTCATGACTGACGGAAATTGCATCGGCCAATTCTTGTGTTAATTTTGTAAAGAAATTTTTTTGTTCGCTCTCGTTAAGACTATTAAAATAGACGGTCCCGTTTGCAGTCAATCGAACTTGCCCTTTAACGGTATCTGAACTTTTTTTTTCCTCTGCAACATCTATTAAAAATTACTAAAGAATGAATATAAAATAAATCCTATATCACTTTAACATAAGAGGATGTTAGAAGCACTTACATGGTTTAAAGGACCAAACACGTTCTTTTATACCATAGAGAGGTTCTTGATAAATTCTGCTTTTAACAAAATTATTACCAATTGAAACATAGTAATTTTTACCAGGTTGACTGAATGTGCAATTAATTATTTTAACAAAAACAGTAGTTCCTTCTTCACTTAAAGATACGTAACGGTTGTCGATTCCAGAAGTATTTTGACGTATACTGCCATCATCTTGAAAAATTACAATATGACCTCCCGATAAATCAACTCCTTTATAATATGTTATTTTAAGATTGTCTAATTCGTCGATTTTGATCATAGCATTGTTTTCTG